AAAGTGTGAAGGCAAGTGGAGAAGGGGACAACAGAGGACAAACTGGTTGGATAGTGTCACCGAAGCTACTAGTATGAATTTGACCCAACTCCGGGAGGCAGTGGAAGACAGGAGGGCCTGGCATGCTCTGGTCCATGGGGTCATGCAGAGTCACACACAACTTAATGACTAAACAACAACAACAAATGGTCTTTGTGTCAGCAACACGTTCTTTAATATGAAGCTTCAACACAGACTTTCCTGGAGACATCCAAGATCCAAGCATTGGCATCAGCTCGATTTGATCCTAGTTAGGTGCTCTAGCCTTCCTAGTATTACGATCACACATCAGCAAGACCCACAAACAAACAAAAGTGGAGGAATTGCTTGAGGAAACCCTTCCAGGCCTGGCTGATGCAAATGCACCTGAATGATGAAAACATTTCAAGAACATTGTTTGTAACACCGCCTTGTCCACGTTTGGCAAGAAGACCAAAAAGACGGCGGACTGGTTCAAAGCCCATTCGGAGGAGCTAATGCCAGTCATCATGGAAAGCATGAGAGTTCTAGCAGCATACAAAGCCTATCCTATTGAGTACTACTTCCAGGCTCTTTGAGTTGCTCATAGCAAAGTTCAGCAGGCTGCCAAAAGATGTTCCAACGATTATTGGCTTCAGCTCTGCTCTCAGATACAGATAGCAGCAGACACAGGTAACATCAAGGGAATGTATGACGGTATCAAGCAGGCTTTAGGTCCAATACAGAAGAAATCTGCTCTCTTGAAGTCTGCTACAGGCGTGATCATCCAGGACCGAGCACAGCAGATGGAACGCTGGGTGCAGCACTACTCTGAGCTATATTCCAGGGAGAATGTAGTAACCGAAGAGGCACTAAATAACATTGAGTGCCTGCCTATCTTGGAAGAGGTGGATAGCAAACCAACTTAAGCAGAAATAAAAGCAGCCTTGGATTCCCTCACCTCCGGCAAGGCACCTGAGAAGGATAACATCCCTGCTGAATTGCTGTAAAGAGCTGTATGAAATCTTTTGTCTTTGCTGGAGGCAAGGTGGAGTGCCAGAGGACATGAAGGATGCAAACATCATCACATTGTAAAAGAACAAAGGAGACAGGGGCGACTGCAATAACTACCATGGCATCCTCCACTATCTCCCACAGTTCCTCACGCCTCAAAAACATTTCTGCCTTGACTGACCACGTCTGGTAATTGTTTTCGTTTAGTCTGGTCACTGAAAAACCACTCAGACTCCCAACTGGCTGCATCTTGCTGCTTGTTTCCTTGTCCTCCGTTTTTCCTCCCCTCCTGGGCTCTAAATGGCAGAACTCTTCCTTCCCTGGACTCTAGCCTTTCCTTTCAGTACCCACTGGTACTCACCGCCTTTCTTTTCGTCACGCAGTCTGCGCAGGGCGTAGCGCTGGGCCCATAACCTTCTTGTTGGAGTTTTCCTCGCAGAATTATGTTTTTCAGCAGTTTCAGCAGAGTATATGGCGGTCTAGGCAGTCCAGTAATAAACACACGCAGTCCGGCAGCATTTCATGCAGCAAAAGTGTATTTACAGCAGCAGCATGACAGGCATATGTGATCTCCAACCAAGTGAAGATAATACTGACTGTACAAGTCTACATATATACATTTCCACAACCAATCACAATAGAGATTACCTCATAGCATTACATCAGCTCTAGGTTGCATCATCCTTGCTGAGTCACCCTGACTCATTCCCAGCACATCTGACAGACATGGTTGCTCATTACAGCACTGATTCTGGTCATGCCTATAATTTATACTCGACAGATTTTTTTAAATATCTACACAAGGATAGGTTTTGTTATCATAGTTTGGATGACATTTGGAAATGCTTATTTAATTTGACATTAATTGTGAATCTCTTTCCCCTCTCTAGAAGACCTTGCAATGTGGAAATGCATTTGTATGCTAGATTCTTGGTTGTACCACTTTCCTGAGCACAGGAAAAGGGGAAAAGAAATTAGTAGCCAGCTTACTAAGTGGGTGTTTGTGTGTTTGCAAAAAATAATCAGATTAGTAGGAGATTAATTTAGAGTGTACTAAAACATTATGAAGATAAACTAATCCAGGTAAAATTTTGGTTCATTTTTCTGAACTTAAATATTTTTCAAATCTTACCTTTTTTCCTGAACTTAAATACAGTGGTGCCTCGCATAGCGAGGTTAATCCGTTCCGGATTAACCTTCGCTATGCGAAAACCATTTTGGAACCGCCGATCACCTGTTCTCCCCCACTTCGTTTTGCGAAGATCGCTAAGCGAATCGCTTAGCGATCATCGCAAAGCGAAAAATCGCCATAGGGGCCATCGCTGAGCGAATGCTCCAGCGATGGCCCGGACCCCCTCGCTATGCGAATTCATCGCATAGCGAAGCACTCGCTAAGCGAGGCACCACTGTATTTTTAAAATCTTACCCTTCATACAAGTGTATTTTCAACTCCTTTCTGTTGTTCTGTACTCTCTTCAAGTCATTTGATGCCTGGGCCTGTGGACAGAAACAGATCCACCAGTTATAACTAGAGATGGGTATGAATCAGAAAAAAAATGGTGATTTGTCATTCGTCAAAGATTATGAATGGACAAATTGATGAAACACCAAATTTTAGCAACAAATCAATGAATATTCATTTATTGGTTATTAAAACACAGTGGCCCATCGACCAGCTGATGGACAGGACATTGACAACCAGGCTGTCTGTGGGAACAGAAACTGGGGTTCCCCTTCACACAGCCAGCCTGCTTGTTAATGTCTTGTTGATCAGCTGATGGTTGTGAAATTGACAAGCAGGCTTTGGGAAGGGAAACTGCACAAAGAAATTGGTAAATATTAATCCCTTCATATTCGTTAGGGTCTCCTGATGAATACTAAGGGACAGATATCCCACAAATCAGCAATATTTCATGAATATTGCAATTCATTTTTTTATTTGTCCCCATATCTATTTGTAATAGTAAGAAAAGTCCACAAGCACAGTAGAAACTGAACCTCTTTTTCTTTCTCCTTTGTTAATGGCAGTGCCCCCTAGAGGCAGAAATGCATCTTGCTCTGGCATTTGAGAGGTGTAGTCTTAAATTAATGGCTTAGATAGAATTTCCTCATCCTAAGTCAGACCTGGGCAAAGTGCAGCCTGCGGGCTACATACGGCCCACGAGCTGCTCTTGTCCGGCCCGCCAGTCGTCGCTCTAGTCCGTCACTGCTGAGTGAGCCGGAGTAACCCCTGTGCTAGTTTGTCTTTGGTTTCAGCCTCTTGGCTTAGGGAACAGGTGGCTGCATCCCTTGCGGCTGCCCGGCCTGCTCTTGGGCCGCTTTCTGCAAGGCGCCGAGTGCTGGGCGAGCCCAATTTCGCAAGCAAAGGCAAGCAACCGCGGGTTCCTTCCCACTCTTCTTCCTTCTTCCCCTTTGTCCCCCCCCCAATGTCTGCAAGCTGTTACCAGCCAGGAGACACGCTGCCTGGAAAGCAGAGCGTTCCTGCAAGAAGCATCTGCCCCAGGGGTGAGCCTTCGCAACCATTAGCGGAAGTGCAAGAAGCATCTGCCCCGGGGTGAGCCTTCGCAACCATTAGCGGAAGACACTCACTTCTTCCTCCACGGTGTCGTGGCTCCAGTGCTTCAATGAAGCGCACCTGCTTCTTCAACTTGCCGGGACACCTGATGCCTTCCTGCACAGCACCTAGGCGCCTCTGGGGCTCCGGGAGCGGATAGTGGGGTCATAGAGTCCACCCCAGCCTCAGCTTCACCCGTCCTGCCTGCCTGCCTCGGGATACTTGGCTAACAACTACCTGCCCCCACTGAAAAGGGCTATCCATTTTTAAAAAACATGACACCCTGAGAAGGATGTGTTCGTGGATCTGTGCAAACAAGCACAGCATATAGTTGTCTTCCATTCCCCCGCCACCTTTTAGGATGATTGGTGGTGATGGTGGTGGTGGACTCATGTTTCAGTAGAAAACAGGAGCGCTCCGGCTGGCTCAGAAAGAGATTGCAAGGGGCAGAGAGAAAGGCTTCCCGGCTTTCCTCCCTGCACAGACCGACTGAGATGGAGAGGAGCAGAGAGCCAGGAGTAATAGGAAAGACACCCTTTACCGGTCATTCACATCGCCCGGGGAGCCAGTAAGTCCCCTGGTTTCCCTTGTACCCACCCTAGTCTAGCCATCTCAGGTAATTTACTTTGGGTCTGATAGCCGCTGGTGCCTTTGTCCTCCGCGTCATTTTCCATCCAATATCTAGCACCCGATCCCAGTTATTTTAAAAGTTGCACTTGTCAGAGAAGCCTTTTTGGGTTGCAGATCCTTTGAGTAAGTAACCGGCCCCCTAAATCTCATTTCTGAAAAGGAAAGAAGGAAGGAAAGAAGGAAGGAAGGAAGGAAGAATCAATAATACTTTTTTGATTTTTCTGCTCCGGTCCCCTACTTTATTCCCTTTCCCCCTTTCTCTGGGTAGTCGCTAGCACTGAATTGACCCGGGAAGGAGGATGAAGTGGTGATGGTGGCGGTGGATGTATTTGTTAAGATTAAAAAGTTTAAAATAAAAACAATCATAACGTCACTGTTTCATTTTATTTTTAAGTAAAGTTGGTTCGGTCCTGGAACACAGTTCAGATTTTTCATGTGGCCCCCCCTATAGAAATTAATTGTCCACCCCTGTCCTAAGTGCACTATAATTATGTCATCTGATATTGTACATAGTCTTCCATAAACATATCTTACATCTGTTAGAAAACTTTTTTGCAGGAGCAAATGCATGAACATCTCTCTTTATTCATTACTCTGAAATAAAATATTTAATAAATTATTTTTTTCAATCTTTTTGTTAAAAAAGGCACGGCTTCAGGAAAAAATGGGGGAAATACACCTTCACACACACATGTCTGGCCTTCACATCTCTATTCTACAACCACAGTTAACACTCTAGCATCTGTGCATGTTCAGAACTACAAGGTTGTGGATACATACCTGGGAAACCATCTTTTTCTTGTACAGTATTTGATTAATCCTGCAACAATTGATTCTCTACTGATTGTAATTAATAAAATTAAAGCAAAGGGTACAGATGTATGCATGGGTTGGGCCTAACTCCAAGAAAATACAGACTGAGTTTTTGGACTGGATGAAAGTAATAATGTTCTCAACTTTTCAGGCAGCCTTAAAGGACTGTCAGTCCAAGAAAATTTTTGACTAAATTCTTTCCAATCTGTTCATTTTTCTTTTAGGCAGAAGAAGAATTTCAGAAAGCACAGAAAGTATTTGAAGACTTCAACACTGATTTGCAAGAAGAGCTACCAACTCTATGGTCAAGGTACATACTGTGAATAGTTCGCATGCTTCAGTTTTTCACAACTGTCTAGAGAAGCATGGTTATCATCTCTTTGTAATGCTTTAATGAACTCAGTTTTTTTTATTTAGCAGGAGGAGACCACATTTGATTTAAAAAAATTAAATCCTCAAGAAATTTAATCTTTGTTTTATCCTCATGGAGACTGCCTATGAAAGCTGAAGTGATACATGTTTGTAAATATAATTGTAAAAATATAGATAAAAAATTTACATGAAGTAATGTAATGTCTGAATAGAAGACATGTATAGGATGATTTCTAGTATGATTGGCAGATAGAATGTTGAGTGTGGAACTGATTATTGATTGGTTGATATGATAAGAGTTATGATAGGAGGTGACAGTTGAGATGAAGTCAATCTGCTTTATGGAGTCAAGTTTTGAGGGTCAATTAGTAAGGGTTATTTGAAGAATCTGGTAAAGATTTAAGGAGAGAGACTGTTTTGTAATAGAGAACTGAAAGGAAATTTATTAAGAGTGTTCTGTGGAAGTAGTTTTTTAATCTGAATACAGAGGAATATATTTATATTTTATAATTTTACCCGTTGTCTGATTTACCCTTGAATCTATCGTTCTCATCCTACATTTACCTGTGTTATCTGAATAAAACCCTTTTGTCTTTTCAGAACCAAACTTTCCTCATTATTTAACGTTATGAATTACTTAGAAGGTACTAAGTAGTCTACAGTAAGAAAGCATTACACCAATGTCACACAAGGTTACAGAACTGATTAAATAAAATAAAAAGAAATATATTCAGTCAGCATCTAAATGTAAAATATATGTCAGTTTGGGGCAAGGAGATTTTGACTGGTGCACAGTAAACTTGTTAGAAGTTTGGGAAGTGGTTGTTTTTTAGGGTAATGCCTGTCTTAGTAGCACAAAGAAGTGGTAGGTAGATTTAAGGTGACGGTATGAAAAAAGTGCCCAGGACTACCTGAGGAATGTGTGGCTTGCTAGTGTTCTTCTCAGGGAATAACATCACAGAGATCAAGAGGAATCCTTCTAAATGTGTAATGCACAGGACATTAATAATGGTGCCTTAGATCCACTTCACTCATATTCACTCATAGCATATTTAAATTGTAAGGTTTAAGGGGCAAAACCTTGGATTCCATGATTAAGTCATTGAGATCCATAGTAAAATCTGTGGTATGGGGCTGTACAAGAATAAGTAAAGGTCATACTGTTGTGGGTGGGTGTTTAAAGGTCTCCCCTTTAAATTGCAGAGGGGTGCTAGTGGGGGGTTGTGTTCCTCTTTATAAGTTATGCTTTTAAAACTCTTTTTACATTTCCAGAATCAATACTGTGCATTAGAATAAACTGTTGTGTCCATCTGGAATACTTTTCCTCTCTTTTTTGTTGGAGTTTTCAAAACCATAGCAAAGTAGAAATATATTCAGTTATTCTCCCTCTTTCTCTTTACAACCTTTTCATGTCTACTACTTTGTCATTCCTACTTAGACGAGTTGGCTTTTATGTGAACACATTCAAAAATATCTCCAGCCTTGAAGCCAAATTTCACAAAGAAATAGCTTTGGTGAGTAAAATGAAGTCAGTGATGGAGAAAGCTTTCAACTAAGTTTAAAGAAAGACAGATGCCAAGATGTACATATTTAATATTTGGCTAAATAAGTATCTTCCTGTTATTAAAAATACATCTCCCTTGCTCAACTGTTAATTAATGGATTAAGAATAATATAATTATTGTGACTGTATCCCACCTTTTATCGTAGAAGTTTGTGATGGTTACATTGAAAGTCATTAGATGATCTTGTGCAATAAAATCACCAAGCTTTCAGCAGTAGGGGTTTAAGGTGCTTGATATGGGCCTAATGCAGGCATGGGGAAACTTTGACTCACTTTTTTTTTTTGGACTACAACTTCTATAACCCCCTTAGGATTGACCATGCTGTTTGGGGTTTCCAAACACTGACGTCTAAAATATTTAGAAGGCCAAAGGTCCTCCAGTCCCAAGACCAACTAGGAGGTGTTGGTGTATTGTTTTACCTCATAAAATTACTGCATAGTTGTTCTTCATCCTGCTCTTATGTTGAATCAGCAACATTATTACAAAAGGAAGCATAGATTTTTTTCCCCTTTTGACATATTGTTATAATTGTCTGGGAGCTTAGTATGGATTCTAATAAAGCCTGAAACACTGAAATACACCACTGCTTTCGACTCTTGGGAATGAACCCAGAACTATTCAAATCTCTGTTGTGCATCCCAGGAGAGGAGCCAGTCATGATCACCTAGAGCAAGGGTCTCTAAACTATGGCCCATGGGCCACATCCGGCCTGCCTTGCCATTTTATCCACCCCGTTCCCCTTAGCCCGGGCAGGCGGGCATCTGGATGGGAAGGCTGGTGGGGTGTGTGGGCAGGTGGGGGTGCAGGCATGCATATGCACGTATGCACACATGTATACTCCTGTTCCTTCAGCCTGCAAAGATGTTTAAAATATCCAGTGTGGCCCTCATAGTCAAATATTTGGAGACCCCTGACCTAGAACATGTATGATAGATTTATATGCCTTGCCACCTGTGATGTCTTCAGCAAGCTACACAATGAGATGGTCACCATCGGAATTGACTTGAAATGTACACTATTTCATGAATCAGTCTTGGTTCTCCTTCCATTCCTTGTTAAAGTGTGTGTATGTTTTAAAACCACAAGCAATTTATAAACATTTACAAAGCATCTCTGAATGTCAGAGTTGCTCCATGAAATCTCATGCTAGCCCATTAGCACAAATCATAATTGACTTTCAGTGCTAACTAGACATGGACTATTCATATTCATATCCCTGGGGATATGAATAGTGGCACCACAGATGCCATGGAGTCCATTCCCTTCTCCCAGAACCAGGGTCCTTTATCATGGTTGTCATTGTGCCAATCACAGAAGGAGACCAACTGTCTCTTCCCCACCTCCCTGCACAGCTGACCACTCTAGAAAGAAGATGGGAAGGGGAGTCTCCCTGCTCAGCTGATGAGTGGTCAGCTGCAGGGGGAGGTGCAGAAGAGAAGGTGCACTGCTCAGGGGAGAGAATTGACACCCGGGATACGAATATGAATAGCCCATGTCTAGTGCTAATCATAAAATTCATCATTTTCAGAGTACCCTGGAGAGGAAAGTATATTTGGATTAATTTAGGGAGAACGATGCTTCCAAAGTGACTCCCACTGTCATGAAATTATTATGCCAGTTTCCACCCCAATTTTCCAATAGTGTTGCCCTGTGGAGATTATAAATGATGCATAAGCTTTTTATATTTATGTGGTATTAAAATTACACATCCCTATTGCAGGAAACAAAAAGGCATTTGAATCACAGTGGAGTAGATTAAAGTCATTTGTTTGATCTAGACTCAGGGTTGAAAAGTATGGGGTACTAACTATGAAATCAAATCCATTCTATAGTCTCTTTTAACAATAGCAAGTTAATGTAGTACTTTTTAATTAAATGTTTCCATGTTCCCAGCATGCAGCACTCCCTTTAAGCCCAAGAATAAGTGTAGCATGTCTTAATTATCAGTTGTGACGTTTTCTACCTGCATGTGATATGTGCCACTATAATAATGTCTCATTTATAAATGGTAATTAACATTAGTCCATTGTGGGGGGTATTTGTGATTTTTAACTTGCATTTGTTCCTGCTAAGATAACTTTATTAAGATAACAGCTGGGTTTGTGTGTGTGTGTGTGTGTTTTCAGTTATGCCACAAACTTTATGAGGTGATGACTAAGCTGGGAGAACAGCATGCTGACAAGGCCTTCACCATTCTAGGAGCACCCAGGTACACCTCTGTTATACAACTGCAGTGTACATGACTTAAAAATAATCCGGGATTTGGAGTAAACAATTATTTCTATTGAGCATGAGCATGTCACCCTATACCAATTTATTTGTGAGTTGGAAGCAAAGTTTCATTATTTATAAATTGGTCTAATTATATTTTATCACACCAGAAACTGATAGGGTGTTTATTGTGGATGTGAATTCTTATCGAGGCTGACCTAATCTATGCCTCTCTGAGTAGTGTACATATCAACACACATAGTTGTTATTTATTTATGTTGGCTTTTGCACATATCCAAATTTTGCACTGCAGTTCTTGGCTGAGAATTGAACTAAAATCTTTATACAATTAGATTTTTTTTAAAAATAAAGTGTATTTGACAATAAAATATATATAGAAATGAGTTTTCTGAGAAAATACATGTAGAAGTCCCATTTTTTTCAGATCAAACTTCAACCAGCATGGGAAAAAATGGCCAAACATAATAAATTTAGTTACAGATTTTTGTGCAGATTACTGCAAATCAAACACAAAATCTCACAGTTTAACAGGGAAATGGGAAAAATATTTAGAATGAATACTTGTGATAGATATGGGTTTGAAATACAGTGTGTGTCACGATTCCCATGTGGCCCATGCTTGTTTCACTAAACAAAGAGCTCAAAGTACACACCCCTCAAGCTGCCACTAGTTGATTTCATCAACAATACCTATTATTAATAATCAAGGTCCAGGCCATATGTCATTTTAAAAGAACCAAATAGAAATTGTTTATTGATACAGGTGTTGACAGAACAAGCAATGTTGTTAACTCTTAAACAAACATTCTCCTGTATTCCTCTCAACCACCACTCTCCCACCCAAACTCCAAAACTCTCTCTTAATCTCTCTATCTCAAAACTTTATTTCACTATCTCAAAATCCTATCTAAATTCTCCACTCCTACACCTCCTGGTGAGTCTCTTATATCTCGTGATTCCGCCCCTCCAGCATTCCCATTGGTCTGTGCAAATAGCCTATGAATAATTCATGACCTGGGTGGACACCACAGTGTGACATCCATCCTAAGTGTGGTACAGCAGCAAAAGGGCTGAGATACTGTAAATATAAACTGAAAAATAGATAAATAGGTTCAAAAACATCTTGTCCCCCAATCCTCTACACTCTGAACAACAAATGTTTGTAGAGGAACATGTTCCACAGCTCTTCAAGGTTGTACCATCTTTGGGTGGGTGGGTGGACTCCGTGAATTTAGAACAGAAAAGAAAGAATATGTTAATGTCTCCTTTCTTTTTCAATATATATATATTTTCCACAGAAATTGGTGGTGAGTTAAGACATATCTTATTCTTAAAATAATGTTCAGTTGCTTTAGAATTGAGAACATGATTGAGTTCTAGTCAATCATGTATTTATTTTAGTTTTCCACAAACACCCTTGAAGTCTATGTCTGATCTTACTGATTAGGATGCTTATAGAATCTAACACTTGTATGCTTCTTCAAAATGCAATGCTATTATTTTTATGAACCATAGATTTTAGATGTTCTTAGACAGCAGAGTGATTTCTAGACATTGGGTTCTCTAGCTTCTTGTATTTAGCAGCGTCAGTGTAGACAGTGAGTCTGGAGACACTTTAATTTTTCAAGATACCCTTTCTTGTAATTAGGTAGAATGGGTGTGATACCAGTATGGGAACTAAATTATCTCTTTCATAGGTATGGTACAAATAGATATGTACACAGACCCTAATATTATATCAGGAATGTCCACAATGTGGTGAATATCGATATTCAGGTGTTAAAGCTGTTTATAAGTGTTGTGAATGTCAAGTATCATAAATAAATAGTTAAGCATAAGCAATCACCTATAATTATCAGGGCTCATGGATAATGGGAACTGGGAAGGGCAGCTATTGCAGCTATTCACAGAATCTGACTGGAATTCATTCTTCCACATTTTGGACAATCACATGAAGACTGGTCATCAAGTGCCTGTGAAACATTTTTCCAAATAAAGCATTGTGCCTTAGAGAAAATAGGTGAGCAAGGAAAATGTACATTTATTGATTTGATTTGATTTATATACCACCCTATTAGTGTAAGCACTACTGTGGGCAGTTTACAGATTAAAACTTAGAACCCTTGAGATCCCATATATCAGATCAGAATATCATATGATCTACAGAATGAGCATCTTCGGAAGTTTGAAAAACAGAGTTCCTTTCAAACAAATATTTGGACAAAAATTTAATATTTAATATTTTTGATGTATAACATAAAAGGATCAAATACTTTTCATAGATGGGCACATATAAAGTTGAAATGTACATAAAGTACTTCATGAGCATAGGAAAGCAATTTAGGGTATTAACCCCAGTGTGTTTTATGCATTATAAAATTATATTATACATTCCACTAGTGATTCAGGTCCGCTCCGCATTGCAAAAACTCCATCACCGCCTGAAGAGGCCTCACCTCCCCTTAGTCCTGAAGCTAGTCCAAATCATACTTTGGCGGCACCAGCTTCTCCAGCACCAGCACGGCCTAAATCTCCCTCACAGGTAGTATGAACAGAATTATGGGGAGGTCTGGGTCTTTGTGTATTAATATTTGAGTTTATATTTAGGTTCAAGAGTCCTTGGAGATATACCTGTCTGTGTGCATTCTTTATAATACGTTTCATAGGAATAGACACCACAAAATATGTAGCAAATGTATGAAGGCAGATGATGGACCAGTGGTGGCTTTTACTGTGACAGCAAACAGCTGTAATTAAAATACAGCTGTATGAAACATTTGATATTCAATATGAAGAGCTATGCCAGAGAAATTGCTCTTAATGGTGTAGTCATTTGTGTAACAATGTTTGCGGTGTTTTCTTCTGTCTAATTACTTAGTGCAAATGTTCCGCATCTGTCAGGATTTCCATAGTGAAGCCCTCTCTGCTCAGAGTGGTATCACTGTTCCAGGAAAGCCTTAAGCCATAAGGACACTGAGGCTGCGGCCACACAAAAGAAATGCCCCCCCTTCTTTCTTGTTTCTTTTGCTTCCCGTATAGTCACACATTGTGGTCACGTGGCATATATCCTGTGATAGTGGTTGATACATTTTTTAACTATTCCACTTTTGGGGGGGTGAATTAGATGCAGTACATTTGTCTATACCCCATGAGTGGGACATATCCTTTCCTTTTCTTGTGCCTTTCTCAACTCCCATTCCCCACTTTTTATTTTAAAAAGTGTGGGTACATTGCTGTGTTGGCAAAACACCTTTGCTGGCCACATACTGATTTGGGCCATTTTCTCCTATTTCTGTGCTTCATTACCCTCTATGGAGGAGAACCCACAGCACACTGCAGTGACAGTCAAAAGACATCAGGGGGACTGATGTTCTGTATTTGACAGAAGTATATCAATGTTCTGACATTCCCATTTGAAAATTATTTTTTTTAATTAAAAGAGTTGAACACAGCAGGTGAGGGAGATGGGACCGCACGCCAAATGCATAGGAAATGAATCTGTTTTGGAGTGCATGCTCATGGGGATATCAGTTGCACTGCATGATGAAATGCGGAACAAATTTAGTAGTAGCCTTCCATTGTGCTGGATTTGATGAGGAGATAGCATGGAGGAGGAACAAAAGACTAGATAATGGCTTTGTGCCATCAGAACAAAAAAAAAGGGTAAACATTTTGTAAGGAGTAACTTGGAAACATTTTGCTGGACTGACTGCAACCTGACATCCTTTTTGAGAGTCTTTTCCTCCATGAAACCCAAGAAGGAACAAAGAGGCAATGCTATGGAAGCGCTGATAGCTATGAGGGATGGTGAGAAATAGAGGAGAAAGTGGGAATTTGCCCATTCCTTTCTCTTTCAATTCTCCCTGACCCAATGTACCACCTGATATCTGGCCAGCTTTTGAGAAGAAGGGACTGTATACTACTAGCTCATTTTTAAAGTAAGTTTATTTCATTAAAGAACATTTTTTTAAAGTTCGAGTCACCTTATTTCCTTATAAAGAACAGTACTGTTGCCTCTTTTACTATTGCCATGATGAAACCTCTGAAGACTGAGGTTTTCAACTGCCTCTGGCATCATTCCAAGCTATGGATTTACCATGGCTATTTTTATCCCCTTGATATAAAAGGAATATAATTTCCTTTCCCGCAGGGTAAATGTGATTTGATTTCTTTTGTCACTGGCTCTCTATTAGTCTGTAAGAAATGTGTTGGCACAGCATGCTTGTTGCAGCTGGAGAGATTTGGTTGAGGAGCTGGCAAGCAGATGAAATTTTTAATAATGCTCTGTGCGGCACAGAGTTGAAGTATGCAGAAGATCCAAATATCATATTCCTTTCCTGGTATTTATCAAATATGCAGCCTCTTTCTTTGACTAGTCATTTTGCTACAATCATTCACCACAGTATTTATCACCACCCCAAGTGAATCTTGTTGCACCGCTTTTCCTAAGATCTTCTTTCTCAAGGTGTTTCTTCTTTGTCTAGCTGAGGAAAGGGCCTCCTGTCCCACCGTTGCCTAAGCTCACACCAACAATAGATCTGCAACAGGAGAATATCATCAGCTTGTTTGATGACAACTTTATTCCAGAAGTAAATGTGACAACTCCTTCACAGGTGAGTCAAGAATTAAATATGTCATCCTTTCCTAGCTTGATGTCCTCCATTTGGTCCTCCATTTGTGTTGTACTACAAGTCCCATCATCCCCATTCAGCATGGATGGGTTGTTCAGGAATGATGAGAGTCATGTTCAACACATTTGAAGGGCCTTAGGCTGGTTGTTCTGGTCTTTGAGAAGGTATGTCCATTTAACTTCAAAAGGGTTCCTATATTTTTCACTGGTGTTCTGAAATAATTCTAGTTTAGGTGACACTGCAATGAACATCTATTTGCTTCATGGTTGAGCAAGAATTTGAACCTGGTCCAGGATCAACTATCAAACGCTATGGCTTCCATAGCTTCATGCACTAATCTTCACTGCATTTGCGGATATATGCACTGATGGGAAAAAGATACATGTTGCAACTATTAATGAATATGAAACATTTAGATTTATAAATGAGTGATTGCAGAATTAGTTATATAGAATCTATTGAAGAGAAACATGGCATGTGTAGATAGAACCACTCTAAAGCCATAAAATATATGCAACAGGTTAACAATCCAATCCAAACTGAACATGCACCAGCCATAGAGGCTTTAAAACAGGCTGAAGCATCTTCTGCCAGCAAAAATCCCCTTATTCTGATTGAATAGTATCAGCATGGCCTCTCCCAATTTGAAGAGACACTTGTTTAGCAAGCTGAGGCAAAGAGGCAGTCCTGAAAGCAGCAAAATCAGGGAGCTGGACAGGGAACGGATTGTATTTGTCTTCAGTGTGGAAGGGATTGTCACTCTCGAATTGGCCTTCTCAGCCACACGAGACGCTGTTCCAAGACCACCATTCAGAGCACATTACCATAGTCTCTCGAGACTGAAGGATGCCTACACGGTTTCAGCAAGACCATCTTCTGCTAGCCACTCTGAAACATGTGTCACATTAGGATCTACAGGTAGATAAAATCTATTGACAAGAGAGTCCCAGAAGAAGCACAACAGAAGCTGAATTATGCCAGATCTAAACATCCTCTAGCTGAGGTACATAGCCACTGCACTGAAATAAATGTAGTCCTGGACAAGTATAATTCTATGAAATTTCCAACATCCCTAGGATTGAGGGTATGTGTGGATACAGCAAAACCGCAATTGGCAAAATGTCAGTTTAGCTGGTCCTTGACCATCTTAGCTAGTTAAGATTGCACTCAAATATGCTAATTAACCTGTGCTGTATTAGTAAAATCCAAGACTACTATCCCTGTTACAGAATGGCTTTTGATTAACATTTCTATTAATGTAGGAAAAAGTGAAGTAACTTGCTGTGAATCTCCTTTCCCTTCATCCTTTGATAAGTGGTACCAGTCGATTGGGGGACCCATTGAAATGGCAGAAAGAAAATAATTTTCCTCTTCTTACATTAGCAAAGGCTTTCTGCTCCATCAAAAGCTATTCCATAAACAGCAAGGCTGGATTCCACTTCAACTCTGCAGCATATAATTATAGTTTGCATATTTTACCTCTGTTGCATGTTGCACAGATTGTTTAGGATTTCATTTAATCAAAAATAAGTTGGTTGTCGTTTAGTCGTTAACTCAATGTCTGACTCTTCGTGACCCCATGGACCAGAGCACACCAGGCCCTCCTGTCTTTCACTGCCTCCCAGAGTTGGGTCAAATTCATGTTGGTAGCTTTGATGACACTGTCCAACCATCTCGTCCTCTGTCGTCCCCTTCTCCTCTTGCCTTCACACTTTCCCAACATCAGCGTCTTTTCCAAGGAGTCTTCTCTTCTCATGAGATGGCCAAAGTATTGGAGCCTCAGCTTCAGGATCTGTCCTTCCAGGGAGCACTCAGACTTGATTTCCTTTAGAATGGATAGGTTTGTTCTCCTTGCAGTCCAGGGGACTCAAGAGTCTCCTCCAGCACCACAAGTCAAAAGCATCAATTCTTCGGTGGTCAGCCTTCTTTATGGTCCAGCTCTCGCTTCCATACATCACTACTGGAAAAACCATAACTTTGACTATGCGGACCTTTGTCGGCAAGGTGATGTCTCTGTTTTTTAAGATGCTGTCTAGGTTTGTCATTGCTTTCTTCCCAAGAAACAAGAATCTTTTAATTTTGTGGCTGCTGTCACCATCTGCAGCAATCATGGAGCCCAAGAAAGTAAATTCAGTCCCTCCCTCCATATCTTCCCCTTTTATTTGCCAGGAGGTGATGGGACCAGTGGCCATGATCTTAGTTTTTTTGATGTTGAGCTTCAGACCATTTTTGACAATCTCCTCTTTCAACATCATTAAGAGGTTCTTTAATTCCCCTCACTTTCTGCCATCAGAGTGGTATCATCTGCATATCTGAGGTTGTTGATATTTCTTCCGGCGCTTGGGATTCCTCCAGTCCTGGCCTTTTGCATGACGTATTATGCATATAAGTTAAATATACAGCCTTGTCATACTCGTTTTCAATTTTGAACCAATCAGGTGTTTCATATCCAGTTCTAACTGTTGCTTCCTGTCCCACATATAGACTTCTCAGGAGATAAATAAGGTGGTCAGGCACTCCCATTTCTTTAAAGACTTGCCATAGTTTGCTATGGTCCACACAGTCAAATACTTTTTTGTAGTCAATGAAGCAGCAGTAGATGTTTTTCTGGAACTCTCTGGCTTTCTCCATAATCCAGCGCATGTTAGCAATTTG